ACAAGTTGCAGAAAAATACATAAAATGTAGTAGAATTTATGTAAACACACATATAATACAACATATTTTCTATGAGTAACTTGCATGTGTGTAGAAGACTTTGAGAAGTCTAAAAAATATATAACAAAAAAAATGAGAAATGATAATGGTGCTAACCTCTATGCATAAGGGAAGAGACCACGTCTAGGGCATCCTCTATATAATTTGTGTGTGTGTGTGTGTGTGTGTGTGTGTGTGTGTGTGTGTGTGTGTGTGATGGTAGGGATTGAACCCAGGGCCTCATGCTGGCAAGGCAAGCACTCTAAATCTGACTTATACTGCCAGTTATCTGTATATTTTTTTCTTGTTTTTTTTTCCCAAGGAGAATGTATTCAGTTGGGTTTTCTAAACTAAAAATAAAATGTATAGAAGCAATTCTCAGAAAACCCTCACTTGAGTAACCAGTTCATTTCCACTTTCAAATGGGCCCGTTTGCTTTATGTTTCTGTGAAGATGTTTGGGGAAACAGGGCCTTGCAGTCAGCTGGTGCTCAGAACAGAGACATGCAGAAAGGAACGGCGGCAGGCCTCAGTGCCGGTCTACCTTAGTGAGGCAGTTACATGCAAGAGTCAGAGGCCAGGCCACTGTGACTACATCCAGGCTCTGATGCTTACCAGTCACATGGCCCTGCACACACTACCCACCCTGCCCCTGCCTTGTTTTCCTCCTCTATGACAAGGGGAACAACAAGAGAATCTACCACAAGAGAGGTGTCAGAGAGTGACTCAGCTAATACAAGTTCAGCCCCCCAAACACTGACTTAGAGTAATTTAGCACTTGTTATGATAACTTTGCCAAGAACTATAAGGGTTAGTGAGGATGGGGCCAGGGTAGGGTTTGGAGATATCATCAAGAAGGATAGAAAAAAAAAAGGGAGAAGGGCAGCCCGGACCCTTTAATTGTCAATCAAGTGCAGGAAGGTAGGACAGCCTTCAAGTTCAAGGTCTAAGAGAAACTAATAATAAATGCGCCGTTGACACACGAATCACTATTTGCTTTCTACATGCTTCGCATGTGCTAACTGATGTACTCCTGTGAGACAACAAGCCTTTGAGATTGGTTCTGTCCTACAGTGCCAAGGAGGCTGGACATCTTACCTAAGGACACAGAGCTAATGAAATGGTGAAGAGTGATAATAGTAGAGACGGTTACAATTAATACCTCATGTTTGTCAGCTTGTCGAGTTTACAGAAAACCTCTACTTGATGAAATGGTTTAATAGATGTTTTTTGGATATCTCCTGTCTAATTCAGATGCTGAGTCTTTTGAGGGATTAAGTGGTGAATCTGAAATGGCTTGTGTCTTTGAAGGGGGCTCATCTTAGTGGGGGCAGCCAGCTTTGTACAAAAAGAACTCTAAGGTTTACTGAGGATAGAGTCCAGGGTAGGCTTTGGAGATACCATCAAGAAGGACAGGATATCTAAATTGGGCCTTGAAGGATGAGTGGGGTTTTTAAAGACCAGCAGGTGGATATGTCTGACAGATGAGGGAATTGGAGGGGAGTGGAGGTTTGGTCCAGCCTTGATGGAAGGAAAGATGCCAACCAGTAACAAAGACAAGGTCTTGAGAAAAAGGAAAAAGGTTTATGGCTTTGCTAGCAAAGGAGAAACCCAGGGGACTCCTGGCCCAAAGGATGTGATTCTGCCCATCGGCAGGAACAGGGGGCTTTTAAAGAGGTAATTCAGAGGAAATGAGATGAGGGAGGAGAGATCACAAAGGAGAAGATCAGGGGAAAAAAGATCAGGAAGACAGGGTTAGGGAAAAGAAGACTGGGAAAAAGAAAACATAGGTAAGTTTCAAAGCCACAAGGGATACCGTCAAAGCATCCAGTGAACCCTTATTACAGGAGGGCTGCCTTTTCTAAAAATCAAAATGCTGATTTAAACATAAAAGTAATTTATGCTCCTCAATTTCAATTGGTGAGCAATAGAAAAATAGGAAAATTGAAATTAAATTTCCCATGTCCCCTGTGGCAATGGAATCCATGTTGGAGTATCTTCCTCTAGTCTCACCGATGTTTGTGCTAAGTTGTAAGAAGAACAAGAGCAAAGAGTGAAAAGTCAATCAACCAGGCAGGTTTAAGTATTTCTCTTTCACACATAAGAATATTAAAACTCAGGTTGCCTATGATTGCTTTTCCCTAGAACCCCCTAAGCTATCAGACCTCCCCAAACCCCACTCCCAGGTTGGCTTAGGGAATGCACTTTCCAAAGTGCTTCTACAGGGGATTTGTGCCTTTTCAGTTCACAGCTGAATTCCCAGTGCCCAGAACAGAATTTGGCCCAGATAGACCCCAGTTACCATCTGTTGAATGAACACATAGATCCTTTCCAAATACTCTGAATGCAAGTGGCAGCTTGGATTATCGTTGACTTATTTTCATGACCACAGAGGCAATTGGGAATGGTTTTAAATACTGAACCTAAGAATTATTTTCATGTATCTCTTCTGCCTCCCCTAACTCCCATTCCTCTCTCCTTTGTCCCCAGGCAGCGTTTGCAGGAGGGGAAGGGAAGGCCGCATCCCCAGTCACTTACCTCTCCTGAGGTGATGTGTGTTAGAGACTTCAACTGGAGGAGTCTCTGGAAGGCAAAGGAGGAAATGGCTGTTCGAATCCTGATGCCTGTATGCTGGTTGACGATCCAAATTGAGCACAGACTCAGAGACTTCAAAGACTCCGTGAGAAAAAGGGCAAAGCAGAGGCCCACTCCATGGACAATATTCCCTGATGGGTCTTGAGAATATTCCAGGATCTTTGGTATAACCAGCAACTAAAAGGAAATAGGAGTTGGGATCATTTGGACCTCCCGATCCTTTTAGGCACCTGTTTCATACTTACTTCCTGAAAGAAGGATGGGGAGGTCAAGGTTGAGGTCGGGGATTTGCTGAAGAATCAAAATGGACTCAGGCATAGTCCTACCCTCAAGAAGGGCAAAGTTCAGTTGGAGAAGACTTTGAGAATTCTACTGACCCAGATCTGAATCCCCCAGCTCTGCCACCTCGGAGCTGGTCCAGAAAGGAAACAGGGGACATGCACACACATATACACATGTGCACACATACACACATGCACACACACACACACACACACACACACACACTGGGTATTTTAGAAATTAATAAAGTGACTATTTACAAAGGCATGGGCAGAATTTAGGAACTCCAAGAAGGTATGGTGGACTACTACTGGGCTAGAGACAGCAGGGAACTGCTTCTTCCCGAGAGGTAAAGGGCGAGGGCAGGGTGCAGTTAATGGGCCCAGCAGAGGGGAACATAAAAAGAGGGCACCTGACAGGACCTCGGGTCATGAGGAGAGGTGGCCCACCCTCCCTTCTCCCTTCTCGCCTCCTACGAGTTATTGATCAAGCCCAACCCAATGCCAGAGAAAAGGGGTGCCCCTTTAGATCCCACACCCAGAGCACAGGGTAAGGTAGAAAATGGTGGCAAGTAGATCTAGAGGAACAAATGGAAAACACCTGGCCTGCGAACTAGCCCACAGGTCAGCGGTCTCCTTGGTGTCATCAGCTGTTTCTTCCTGACCACCAATAGAAGTGTCTCAGTTTTCTTCTGGGGACACTCATTGACCCCATTGCTTGCAGTCTGGACTAAACTGTCAATCAAAGTGCTCCACCCTCTGGCCAACCCCTATGCATGTGACCCTAGCCAACCAGTCAGACCCTTTCTCTGAAAGGAGCATCATGGACTAAGGAACTAGAGGACCGGGAATAGAGCCCATTCATCCCAACCACAGAACCCCGAAGACACCATTAGTTCCCACTCCCTACATTCCCAGAGCTGTTCAGGCATTTCTCAAAGCAGCAAAACCACACTGAAACAGACCTCGTTCTAAGTGCATTACACCTTTATCTCATTTAATGTCACACTATGAGGCCAGTGACATTGTGCTTTGCATTCACACGAGCCGGTATTATGGGGATTCTATGAGGAAAACCAGAGTCTGAAAGGGTAATTAAACTGTCCAAAATCACCCAGAAATTCAGAGACAAAGTTTGAACCTAAGCAATGGCTACAGAGTTTGCACAGATAACTACTGTGCTCTCCTGCCCTCCAAAGGTCTTCATTTTCTGGATGCAGCTAACAGACAAAAACATCCCCAACTCCTGGCATGGACTTGAACATGTCCCTTGTTCCATTTTTAATCGCTAAAGCCTTGTCCCAAAACCTCACCAAATCTGCACTTACTGGACCTAATATACTCGTCACACAGAGGCAGCAGACCAGAAGAACACCAAAAATAATCCTTGTTCTTTGAAACCGCAGTATCACTCGCAGCATAGAGGCTTTTTCAATCCCACGCCTGGAGACCTCTTCATCCCAAAGGCAATGAAGCCTTGAAAAGAGGGAAATTGAGACAAGTGAAATCTCTTTGCATGTGTCACTCAATTATTCTGGATCTTGCAAGCTAATAGCTTTACTGCAAAAATATTTTCTCTCTCTCTCTCTCTCTCTCTCTCTCTCTACACACACACACACACACACACACACACACACACACACACACACCTCCTTCTCTCAGTGGTTGTTGTTGTTTGGGGTACGAGGGATTGAACCCAGGGATGCTTTATTACTGAGCTACATCCCCAGTCCTTTTTATTTTGAGACAGGGTCTCTATAATTCACTTAGGGCCTCACCAAGCTGCTGAGGCTTAATTGAATTTGGGATCTTCCTACCTCAGCCTCCAGAGTGACTGGGATTACAGATCTGGACCACTGAGCCTGGTGAACTTTTCAAACATCACAAAAACAGAGAGAGCAAAATAGGGAATCTGCCAAGTACTCATCCTTCATCATTAGGATTATCGACACTTTGATATTTTTGCTTCATCTTTCTTCCCCTCTAACTTTTCTTGAGTATTTAAAGCAAATCTCAAACATCATATCTCTTCATGGAAAAATACCTCAATATGTATCTCTTCCAGATAAGACTTTTTAAAAAAAATCACCATAAACACAATAACAATAATTCCTTAATGTTATTTAATCCCTTGTCTGTTTTCAAATTTCCCTAATTATTTCAAAAATACATTTTTATAGCTAGTGTGTCTGAGTCAAGATACAAACAGGGTTCACACCTTGCATTTAAAGAACAAATCTGATTGGCCTCTTTTTAAAAAGTCCCCCAAAGGGTGTCCCAACATTGGATCAGCCAAATGAAAGTGTGTCCTTATTTTAATATTCCTGGATAACAATGCCTTAGATGTTTGTGTTACACCAACAAAAATAGGAAAAAAAAACCAACCACCTTTTTGACGTTTAACCATTCATCTACATCCTCAGTCCTTTTTATTTTTTGTTTTGCTAAGTTGCTTAGGACCTTGTATTTTTCTGAGGCTTGACTTGAATTTGTGATCCTCCTGCCTCAGCCTCCTGAGTTGCTGGGATTACAGGTGGGTGTGGCTGTGCTTAGCCCTCAAAACATTTTTCTTTGGAGAAAAATTGGATATACATTTCAAAAATGCACCAAAGAACTTATGAAAAAATTAAACATGTTGCCTTTCTCATAGTTTTTTTGTTCTGGATAATATTTGAGGCAGGGGCATAGTCACTGTGGCACTGAGGGCTTCTAGAAGGCTTCATCTGGCTCTAGGATGCTTCACGTATATTTACAATCCAGTCTGTTGGCTGCTTTGCCATGTGGCACCTGACCTTTTAACATGCTGGCTCCCACTCCCATATGTCTGGCTCCACTGCCTAAGAAGCTCAGCTACCACCATATAAGATGAGAACATCAAGGACAATGCCAAAGGACTTCCTGTATTCCCTGAAGCTTCAGCTCTGGGTATTTTAGAAGTTAATAAAGTGACTATTTACAAAGGTGTGGGCAGAACTTAGGAACTGCAAGAAAAGATGGTGGACACAGAGAGTAAAGGAATAAGAAAGGCAGAATTTGTGGAGTAAAAGTGGATAGAAGTACTTAGATCTTGTATGCACAACCTCCTGGACAGAATGGCCTCCCTTTCAGGGTCACTCTTTGTTACCAGAGTTCAACAGCTGGTTCTTAGCCCTGTCCAGGCTCTCATCAAGTCTCAAGGCAAACAGTTCTAGCCCTTTCTACCCCCCTCCTCTAGCCATGGGCGCATATGCCTAGCCTAAAACCCAACAGGAACAAACACCTTGAGGATCCTTCTGCCCTGCTTTTCTTTACCTGCGGTCAAAATTCCAGCTTTCCCTCCTGAGTTATGATCAACCCTATCCTATATCCACCAATGGATGAGTCAGATGAGCTGGGCTCTAGCTCAGCAAAGCAAAAATGTTCCCGTTGACACTTGTACGAACTAGAGGGTTATTGATTACAGATGAGATTGCTAGGGCTAAATCACAGAGCCTCTTCTCCTTATTCCCACCCCTACATGTACACAATCCACAGAGATGATGAGCTCTAGAGTTGGTTCTACTTTGACTAAATACATCCAAGTTTTCCATAACCTGCCCACAGCTCTCCTAGCAACTCTTCCAGTTTCTGACAAAGATCACCAGACTCCATGTCAAAAGACTCAGTTTCAAATTTTATCTCCTCCATTCATTCGATATATGACTCTAGAAACATCATTTCACTTAACTCTCATCTTCTTCATCTGTAAAATGGGGAAAGTGGTATTTATCATATTTGTTTCATAATTATTGTGAGGTCAAACAACATAATTGATGGGGATCGGCTCTGTAATTAGAGAACAATAAAGCGTATCAAGAGTTACTGTGGTGATGAAAGTGGTGATACTACTACTACTACTACTACTACTACTACTGCTGTTGCTGCTGATGGTGGAGGTGATCATGATGGTTGATAGTTTGTCAGAAAATCTTCCTAAAAGCCCAAACAGTTGTTCTAAAGCATTAGGGAAGATGGACACAGAACTCTGCCTTGGAAATAGTGAATATACAGAAAGAAAACCCTTACATCCTTAAAGGTATAAATGCACAGATAATTTTTTTTTTCAAAAAAAAATCCCAAAATGGAGTATCTGCAAAAGTATTGGTGGACAGACATAGAGAGTAAAGGAATAAGAAACACAGAATTTGTGGAGTAAAAGTGGATAGAAGTACTCAGATCTTGTATTCACAATTGTCATGGAAGAAGCAAACTACAATGTAAGTGGATGCCTATTATGTATTAGGCATTTTCCTAGATACTTTATTATTATTTTTATTTATTTATTTTAGTTGTAGAGGGGCACACACCTTTATTTATTTATTTATTTATATGTGGTGCTGGGGATTGAACCCAGTGCCTCACACATGCTAGGCCAATGCTCTACCACTGAGCCACAACCCCAGCCCTATTATTGTTCTTAATTACTATTATTACTTTCTGTTACTGGGGGTCAAACCCAGGGCCTCACACATGCTAGGCAAGTACTCTACCACTGAGCTACACACCTAGCTCCTAGATACTTTAAACTGAATTCACCACCTCTTCTGAATTTTTAGATAGTCCTAAGGAGGTACATGAGATAATTTTATAGCCCACTATTTTATTCATAAAAACACAGGGACCAGAAAGGGCCACTTGTCTAACATCATGGTAAAAGGTGAGATGCTGACCAATATCTAGCATTATCCAAGAAGTATTCCCGGGCATCTTTTTGTTTGTTTGTTTTTACTAAGTCTGGGAAGTCATGGGCCAAAATTGAGCCAGTTTCTATATTATAGGTTTTCTAGTTGCCTCAGATATACTATTCGCTTTGTTAACCCTGAAACCAGGCTGGAATATACAACATTTTACAAACTCTCCTGACCCCTGAAAAAAATAAAGGCCACTTGTTGATGAAAAAATTCAATACTTCAGGGAAGCCCCTCTGAAGCTACAATTTCCTGGAACACAAATGGAAGCTTCCATTGTCTACCTGGTATGTCTCCTAAAGGAACTAGAGGTAGGAACATGAGTATCGGACATTTTAAATCAATTACTCATTTTTTCTCCATTTGAGCTTCATATTACCTTGTGGGTAATACAGGAAGTATGATCACATGACTAGTTAGTGTTTGGCTAACTAGTGAGGATCAGGAGATTGGGCCACTTACCCCAAATTTAAGTTCCACTGTTCAATACCTGATCTGATCCAGAAGAAACCATCAAAAAGGACCAGGGCCAGGTGCAGAGGTGTAGACCTATAATCCCAGTGACTTGGAAAGCTGAGGCAGGGGGGTTGCAAGTTCAAGGCCCACCTCAGAAATTTAGCAAAGCCCTAAGCAACTTAGCAAGTCCTTCTCTCTAAATAAAATGTATTAAAAAAATAAAAAAGGAGAGAGAAGCTGAGTCTAGAAGTGGCGATTTCTATTTTTCTTAGGATCATGAGCCTTTTCACAAATCTCGTAAAAGATGTGAATTTTTGTTCCAGAAAAAAAATCTCCAGTCAGATGTACAAAGTATGCATATCATTTCAGGAGATTCCCGAGACCTGGATTAAGATCCATCCACCCAGCATGAGGCCTCTTGCTATATAGGAAGAACCAAATTGTCTGAGGATGAACCTACCTACCACCTTTATGCACCTCAGATTACTCACTATCCCACCCAAAGATGGGTTTACCCATAAAGTGATGCGTTACCTTTTAACATTTTTGACTGAGGCAACGTGGACGGACAGCAGAGGGATGGAGTTCTCATCTAAGCGATTCCGTAAACCCTTGATCATGAGGGGGGTGAGCCATGACAGTGTGAGGTAGGAGAACAGGCCCGCGTCATCCATCGGGTGAGGAGCAGGAAACCTAGCGGGGGAGGTTATAAAGGAGAAAACTGAAATTAAACACAAGATTTTGAAAGCATGAATTATAACTATGTAAAAACTACAATGTGGTCTCCCAGATGTACACACAATATTTTTTCATGACTATTATTTGTAAGTTAAAAACCAGAAAAAAAATTCCCATTAATAGAGCAATTATTTAAGAAGAAAGGGAGAAACTAGGCTATCTCCATACATGGAACATAGTAGAGAATTTTTTAAAAACAAGAGTTAATCTATATATAGGACATGGAAAAACTTCCAAGTATCTTAAGGAAGAAAAAAAAAGACCACTTGGTGATGAAAAAATTCAGTACTTTTTATGTGTTTAAACATGAAGAAAAGTTGATTCAAAAATATTTGGGAATAAAGATAAGAAGATGAAAATGAGAAACTCATGAAATTTGGGGGGTGGAGAGCACTGTGGCCTCTTTTCTCCACTCTCTGGCCCTTTATACCCTCACAGCCAGCCCACCAGGGCTGTGCATACTGGACAAGGTTAATCTCACCTTTGCCCAAGATGTTAGAGAGAGGCAGGAGGGAAGAAGCAGTGGTATCATCAGGTATGTGGGGCCATCTGTGACTGCCCAAGGCAGGGCAAGAATCTGTGAGCTAGTGCCAGTATTCCAAAGGCCCAACAGAAACAATGTTTATCTAAGAGGTGAACTCCAGAACTCGAGGAAGAATTGAGAGCCTGAACTTTGCTCTTGGCGGAGATTATCAACTCAGTGTGGTAATAATGTGGCTGGTGCTGATTAGAAGCTTGGATTGTTTAAAAAAATGGGAAAACAAATGTAGTTTGTTTTCAAGTGCCTCCCTGCATTGGGGATTGAACACAGGGCCTCGTGCATGCTATACAAAACCACATCCCCAGCCCAGAAAATGCAGTTTGTTGATAGATAAACTCTTAGAAAATGTGTTGGAGAGAGAATCATAAATACAAAAGGGACTCTTGGTAATAAAATGCTAGAGAATCAGACTAGAAGAGTTTTAAGGTCCTATCAAAAAATGATGAATAAATGGATAGGTACATGCTGTCAGGAGTGTGATTCTGTAGTGTGATTCTGAAAGCAAGACTATATCAAGATAGAGAGCAAGCTGGAGATGGTGATTTAAGGGAGAAGGGTAAATTGAATTTCTTTGAGTCTTAGATTTAAGGTTAATATCTTAGGGCTTTGAGCCCTTCCCATAGCCCCTCTCTACCCTTACAATGAAGACCAGCATCCTAAGGTGGCCTGCGGAGCCCCACATGGTCCTCTGGCATCTACCTGCCTGTGCAGCCTCATCTCATGCCATGTCCATCATCCTGCACTCTAGCTACACTGGCCTCCTTCTCAGTTCCAGGACACATCCCTCTGTATTCCTTTCGCCTTAAGACAAGGCCTGTACATAGGTTGCGCCCTCTGCCCATATTATTCTTCCCCTACTCTGGTCTAGTAAATTCTTGTTTTTTTTGCTCTGCATAAAAGCCTTTATTTATTAAATATATCTTCATTTTAAACTCAACAGCAATTCATGAACTAATTTTCCCCTCTCCTTCCAATATTTTCAAGCAATATATCTTTCCTTTGCAGCTTGCATTTTACATGGATTAACCTTTTAATTCTTGCCCTTTTACTATTTTTTTGTGGACACATTTCTTTTTTTTTATTGGTTGTTTACAACATTACAAAGCTCTTGACATATCATATTTCATACATTAGATTGAAGTGGGTTATGAACTCCCAGTTTTACCCCAAATGCAGATTGCAGAATCACGTCGGTTACACATGTAAATTCTTGTTTACCCTCCAGGCCCCAGCTTAAGTCACTCATTCCTCAAGCTGTCACCTGTCATACGTCTCCATGGCAGCTTCCTCCATCAGCTTGGAGTCACACATCTACTTAGGAGTCAACTTGCTCACTGTCTTTCTCCCCCATGTGGTGGCAAAGGTCACGTCCGTCTTGCTCCCACTTCACTGCTCCCCTGTGGTCTAGCCTGATGCCTGGCACGTGTGGGTGCTCAGTGATCCTTGTCTAATGATTGAACATGTGGGAAGCCTGTGCTTTCCTGGTGCGCCTCAGGCTGCTCTGCAAGTATGGGTTGAGTGACATGATGGTGTAGGGACATGGTTCTGTAACCTGGGGTAGGAAGTGAGGGTTGAGGACCATCACCCTGGTGGCTTCTGCCCTTCCCTCCCTCCCAGGACTCACGTTGGCTGGGGTCGGAAGGGAATCGTGGTTCTCCAGGCAGCCTGGTACTGCTCCCAAGGGAGGACATCCATTGCCCCTCGGGCCTCAGGCTTCCTTTCCTGCTGGCTCCCAGGGCCATCTTGGAGAGTGTCAGTTTTCTTAGGAAAGAAAAAAGTAAAAGGGCATCAGTTTCATATCTCATGAATGCTGTCCTAAGGGAGAGTTAAATGTGAGACCAAGTCACCTTCTGAGGGCAAACCTACCTAAAAAAAAGCCAGTAAGTAAAGAAGTAAATCCCAAAATATGTTACTTGTTTGACAGCTAAAACAAAAAGATAGGCCATATTTACAACTTCATATAAATAAATATGATTGGCATCTACATCCCCTGGGTTCTACATCAATGGATTCAACCAATTATAGGTCAAATATATTTGAAAAAAATCATATCTGTACTGAATATGTACAGACATTTCTCATGTTATTATTCTCTGGACAATATAATGGTAACAACCATTTGTATAGCACTCACATTGTATAGTAACCCAGAGAAGTATATATGATCTAGAGATGGCTGAAAATATACAGGAGGAGCTGGGTGCAGTATCACATCCTGTAATCTCAGCAACTCTGGAGGGTAAGGCAAGAGGATCACAATTTTGAGGCCAGCCTCAGCAACTTAGTGGGACCTTAAACAATTTACCAAAAATCTGTCTCAAAATGAAAAATAAAATAAAAAGAACTGGGGATGTAGTTCAGTGGTAGAGTGCCCTGGGTTCAATCTCTAGCACCAAAAAAAAAATAATAATAAGTAAAAGTAAACCAAGTTATTGATGGAAAAAGATCCAGGTAGTGGTTATGTCAGTTAGGGAAAGTTGGAAAATGAGATACAGGGAAAAACCAATAGATGCATATGATTGTCATGATTCAAACTGGTGTAGGTAATGGTTTTACAGCTGTTTACTCTATTAATTATAGGTAAATACATAGAAAAATGGTGGTAGATGATTGATAGATACATTCAGAGATCAGATAGGTAGCTGGGGAGGTAGGTATATAGATAGACAACTAGAAGTACACATGAACCATGAAGGTATGGAATGATCAAGGATAATGATTTATCTATTGTGGAAGCCTAAGGTCCTTTGAAAAACTCAAAGGCAAATAAATATGGCACAAAATTTTCTGACCTAATTTATGATCCTTGACCATAGGCTGTCAACTCACTTTCCTAGTATTTTGATACGAGGATAATCTACTTACATAGCCAAGTTCTGAAACCACATCGTCACTTATGTCAAAGCCAAGATTCACATGGCCACCAGAAGGGTTGGGAACCCAGTATGTCCTCCTCCTGGTCATTTTCAGTTGTTCTTCCAATTCTTTGTTTCCCAGAATCAGAATCTGAAAAGGCAACTGGTAGGAGCAGCTTAGATATAGCTTTGAGCGGTCACAGGGAGGGGCATGATCCTATTGAGGACATTTGGACCTTGCAATAGTCATTGTCATTGTGCTTGCCAGGGATGTGCTTGGTCCTTCTCTCTTGACATCTACTCAGACCTCAGTTGCAGATCACCTAGGGAAACTCTAACCACTTTCTCCACCTTGCTCCCAATCCTGTACCCTTGGGCCAGATCAATCACCTCTGATCAATCAAAGGCCTGCTCATGACACCATGTTTCTTGCCTTTTCACAATCTCTTCTTGTACATTTGTTTGAATCATAATTTGTTCAGAATTTCTCACAATCCACAGTGAACCTCACCAGGACAGGGGCACATCTACTTTGCTCATTACTAAATCCCTAGGGCTTCACTCATGCTGGGGGGATAGCAAGTGCTCCATAAATAAATGATGAACAGAAGGAGAAACAAATGAAAGAAACATCATTTTGTCATTTGCTAACTCTTGGTTTTCATAGACTGCCGGGGGGAATCTGGGCACAATTTAGAAAACTTTAATAATCAAGGCATTAAATAAACAACGACTATGTATTTCATTTTTGCTTTTCTGAGTATGGGACTCAATCTCTGGTTGACACAAGGGAAGGAGTGATAATTAGGAATATTTCCTAAGACATGGAAAGACAAAAAGGTGTACATCGGGGCCAGAGTCATTAGGGTATAACCTGTACAATACAGGACCCCTAAGTTAGAAAGGCCTCAAAGTTGGCTTAATACTCTGAAATTGCCATCTTGAAATTCTTAATAAATTTGAAAAGGAGTCCCATTTCTTCATTTTGCACTGGGCCCTCACAAATGCTATGGTTGGCCTGGTGTTCAGATGCAGCTCTTGACATTTAAATATTGAATTGTGCTTCAACTAAATAGATTACAACTCACCCATTGTTTTGGAAGGAGATTCTTTAAATTCCTTTACCCAACTCCTCTATCCCACTGCCTCTTACAAATCAGTAACAAATTTGGTAGACTCACCTTCTAGAATTCTTCTATAGCCCACACAAGATAGATTTCCCAGCTCTGGAATTATGAGATGCACATGCGAAGTAATGATAGAATGCGGACCCTTCAGTGACAATGGAAAACAGAAAGGAGAGAAGATGTGTTAGGTAAGAGAGTGCCATATACTTTGTTTAAACTCTGAGAAGAGGCCAATTTTCTGGCTGCAATAAACCAGCCTAGGACACATTAAAGTAAAATTGACAAGATTCAATAGCATGAGACCCTCGGTTAGGGTCATCCTGTACTGCTGTGTTCACACACAAAGATTCCCACTGGAGATAAAGGGTGGAGGATGGAGGCAGCACAAAACCCAAATTGCAAGTCATGTACCCTGGCAAGGTGCTGCATCAGCCGTGCGCTGATAACTGCTTGTATCTGTAATTAGCCTGTTCGCAATTGGCGAATGAATGTAGTTCCAACTTGAACACTGACATTTTGCTTTATTTTAAGGAGTAAGAGGAAAGTTAAATACCAAAAATATATGTTGGATTTTTCACTTATTTGTCCATAACCTGAGTGACTTTGCTAAATATTTTTCAAATAACTAAAAGACTATTCCTTTTGGTTGGGGTTGGTGGTACACACCTGTGATCCCAGATACTTGGTAGGCCGAGACAGGAGGATCCCAAGTTTGAGGCCAGCCCAAACAACTTACTGAGACCCTATCTGAAAATTATAATGGCTGGGGATGTAACTCCATAGTAAAGCACTTGTCTGGCATATACAAGACACTGGATTCAATCCCAGCACTGTGGGAGAGGGGGAAAAAAGAATATTCCTTTTTTCTCCTACTACAATATAGCTGTAGATAATACACACTTGTAAATCTAATCTGCAATCTGCATCTATGTTTCTGTCTTAAGTCTAAGCAATCAATAAAATAATAAATGAAGCCCTGATTTGTAACTCTTACTAATTTCTATAGTGTAAAAACCTCTACCGTGGCTGATTTCAAGATATTAACATAACTCCATGAATGCAGAGTTGGGAAAAGAATTAAAGTACAATATACTATTACCACCATATAGACAATTGTGGTAAGAAACATCAGAATAAATAATAGCAAAATAATTAGGAATGATAAATTTTGAACATTACCTTTGTTTTTGAAATAATTTATTTAACTGTACATTTATACAATTTAAATTTTAATAATGTTTAGCAACTAGGCTCTCAAAATTCCTGAAATTTTGGTTACCAGGAACCAGTGTGAACAGGCTCCAGCGAAACGCTGTCACATCCCTTTCAAAAAAGAAGAGGTGACTTTTTCCTAAATCCTCTTCCAATTAAGACATCTTTTTCCCAATTTGCTGATGAGTACTCCATGTGCTAGTACCACCTGTGTGTGCCAATTAGCTTTCCTGTCCCATGTAGTGTAAATGGGAACCAGAAGAAGCCAAAAGTGAGTGAGCCCAGTGGATTATCCAAGCTGCAAACTATCGGGAATCATGGAAAGATCTTAGAAGGGAGTGTGGTGTCAATAGAGGAAACATAAGTGAGGTCCAGCAACTTGGGGAACACAGCCAGACAGAATGAATCAAAGAGCCTCACTGGAAGATGTCAACGACAGGAGGACAGGCAGTGACCACCTGGACAAAATCATCACGTGGGAAAGCCCAGGAGCGGAGGACACTGGGCCCAGGAACCCAACTCTTCCTCTGCCAGCAAAAACTCTGAGACTGTGTCTGAGCATGGTCTAACAGAATTATTTAATGATTGGATCAAACAAGATATTAAAATGGTAAGCCTCAACATTTACTTTCCCCTCATTAACTGGGAAGGGGAAATGCTGAGGAAGCGCAAAATCTTAGAAACCGAGCAAAGAAACTAGATTTTTCTCTCAATTTTCAGCTGTGGTATGACTTGCCAACCTGGCTGATGTTTATTCACAGGTGTTACTCTTCTCTGTATGGATCTGTTTAGGAAACTAACAGCAGGGGAAAAACTAAACAAAATAAAATTGGAGAAAATGTACACATATGCAAAGGACGAGTTTTAAGAAGGTGAACTGTTCATCTCAATACCACTGCAACTCAGCCACAAATTAACCGGGGCCTCCTTCCAGTTCTACAAGGCCCAACCTCTCTTCCTTGGATTGATCAGAGGAATTCTCTGGTCCAAGCTTCCTTGGGCAGTCCTTGGAAATTTCCCTGGCCTCTCAACTTCCTCTCAGGAAGAAATTGGAGTTTTGAAGTTTAATTAGTGGCAAGACCTTTCCTGTGGTCAAGATGGAGACAGGGTCATGACTGGGAATAAACCAGAGAGAAAACAGATGCTTCCAGCCCTGTGTTCTCCCCATCCTAGGGGCAAAGACCATGTTTACAAATTCAGTTTAGACAGGAGCCATTTGCTTACAGTGAAACAGTTGCCAGCAGGACGGACGGAGGCCACTGGAGCAAAGGTACCTGTGGCAAAGGTGTTCTGGAAGAACGGATTTATTTCCTCATTGTTATTACCATTATCCAGCAGGATCTGGGATCTAAGACCAGAAAGTACCCCAGAGGGCAAGGAATATGCCCAGAACAAGTGGGCAGAAGGACCTGCAAGCCAGGATATGAAGAAGTTTAAAGAATTAGACCTTGTGCTATTAACTTTCCCTGCTCTTAATTTATTTCCTTCTGTAAGTTCCAATAGCCGCCAGAGGCCAGTGACTATTCATTTGTTGAATGCTGAACCCCTACATTCCACTCCCGAGTTTTCTTCTCTGCTTCAAGAAACTAGGAAGTTCCTCCCCACCCGAATCTTCACATTAGTCCTGGTTTGTTTGTTTTTGATTTTTGCATTTTTTTGAACCTAGGGGTGCTTTTCCACTGAGCTACATCCCCAGCCCTTTCTATTTTTTATTTTGAGACAGTGTCCCTCTAAGTTGCTAAGGCTGGCCTCAAACTTGGGATCCTCCTGCCTCAGCCTTCTGAGTTGCTAGGATTATAGGCATGTGCTATTTTGCCTGTCCAATTAGTCCTAATCTTTACCTGGAACAAACATTTTCCTCCAGAACCTTGCAGAATTAGTCCATTCTTTAGTTGTTTTTTTTTTAATTTTTTGATTGATACCAGGGATTAAACCCAGGGGCACTTAACCACTGAACCACATCCCCAACCCTTTTTATTTTTATTGTGAGACAGGGTCTCACTAGGTTGCTTAGTCTCGTTAAGTTGCTGAGACTGGCTTTGAACCTGCGATTGTCCTGCCTCAATCTTCTGAGCTGCTGGGATTATATGCCCGCACCACTGTGCCCAGGAGAACTAGTCCATTCTTATTATTCAGGTCTCAGTTCAAATACTACCTCCTTAAAGCATCCTTTCCAGATCTCCCTATCTAATGCTGGCTCCTTCTTCCTATCACCTTCTGCATATTTTCTATCACATTTCCTTTACTTACCACTTCCTCAAAATTGTCTGGTCAAAGCTTCCTTGGGCAGTCCTTGATTTTTTGGCATATACTTTTTTGGCATATTCATTCTCTGTCTACCTTTCTAGAATGTAAGATCTCTGAAGCCAAGACCTTGTCTGTCTTGTTCCCTCTTGTACCCTTGAATCTAGAATCATGCCCAGCCCATGGATGATATTTAATAAATATTTGATGGATAAACTAATGAAGCGCATGCACAGTCTTGTCAAAGAAAGGGCCAAGAAAGCCACACTGTCACTGAAGATTTCATATGTGGATTCTTGATGCTCTGCCAGGTGTCCTGATATATGTTTTCACAGAAATATACAGACAAGATTTAAAGAAGATATTCATCAAGCAAGCAACTTAAATCAGCCATTACCACACCACAGGACATCATACCACACCATACCTTTAAAGTACAGTATGAACTTACGTTATAGGACAGAACACTTACATTGTGCTGTTATTGGGGCATGCACAGATATTAAAAGCATAAGGCAGCAAAATACAACAGACATTAGTATGGCACTATGTATAAACGAGGATGTGTAACCAATGTGATTCTGCAATCTGTACACATGGTAAAAATGGGAGTTCATAACCCACTTGAATCAAATGTATGAAATATGATGTCAAGAGTATTGTAATGTTTTGAACAACCAATAAAAAAGCATTAAATATAGTGTTTAAAAAATTGGACACAAATTTTGTAAAATGGTTTTAGAAGTTCATTGTTGGATTTTTTCTCTTTTGTGTGTGTGTGTGTGTGTGTGTGTGTGTGTGTGTGTGTGTGCTGGGAATTGAACCCAGGGCCATCCCCAGCTCTATAAGTCCATTGTTAAAATACCAGGAACCTCAAAGAATGTAGCCCCTTGGTGAAACTCATGATAATAAGATAAGCTCTTAGGGACTTGGCCAATGAATACTTCACGTTCATATCACCTCCAGAGTCTGTCATAGGGTAGGGTACATAAGATATTACTTAGTGAATGAATGAAAGAGTTTGAGATCATGCCAGAGAAAAAGCTTTAATCAGGAGCTTCCAAATTCCTGCATCATGTTTCCTCCAAAGCACCTAATATCCCTAACTTTTCCTTTCCTGATTTGTGACAAACAAAGAAATATGTAGTTCTGTCTGCCCTAAATCAGACTCAGCTGTCTATGGATCTGTCCTCTGGCCAAGAGAAGCCTCAGGGTGGGAACATGTTTAGCTTACTCCCTCTGCCCCTCTGTAATTAGTCCAGGACCTGGCACCATGCAGTCCCTTTACAAGTGCCTATTGGTTTGAATGGGCTTTCAACTCCCTCCTGGATTCTGAGAGCATTTCTGGACTTCATATTTGGAGAAGAATTTCCCTCTGAAAACTACAGCAAATCCAAATTAATTCTCAACACAAAGAAGCTCCCAGTGGCCAAACAGGAAACAATTCAAGCAAAGAAATATCTGATGTTATTGGATTGCAACCACCTATAAAATAAGTATGCTTGAGTCCATACTAACATAAGTAATTGAGTAAATGAGCAAATGGGAGAGAAGGAAAAGTTCTTTTTCTTATAGAATACCATTTAATAAATGTAGAATTAATCACCTCACAAGATACTTGATACTAATTACCAAAAGATAAATAGTAACTCATTGTGATGAAACCGGGCAGATAACATCTCCATCTAGTCATCAAAATTAAAATCACCATAAGTAACTGTCCTGTTATACACGAGGGAATTGAAAACCCATTCAAACAAGGTTACAATATTACTTTTATGCTATTTGAGCCCGAAACACATGTCATTGACCTAATCATGAGAAATATCATATAAATCCAAATTGAGGAAACTTAGAAGTTGTTTTGTAGACAAAACAACTGACTGATACCCTTTAAAAGACGATAAAATAAAACATGATAAAATAAAGATTGAGGCATTGTCACAATTTAGCGAAGACTTAGGAGATACCATGACAGTGAAGAGTGAGACCGTGGACTGAACCTTGAACCAGATTCAATTAGGGACAATACTGTGAACACTGGCTCTATCAAAACTGGTTTTGATAAAGAACCGTGATTAGGTAAGATCACAACAGAGAACACTAAGTGAAAGGTATGTGGAAATTCTTGGCTATAGTTTCGCAACCTTTTTGTAAAGTTAAAGTCTATTCCAATAATAACTTTAAAACACAAGTTTCTAGTATACACAAATCGAACGCAACCATCCTTCCCAGCACACTCTGTGAGCTAGGCTCAGCTGAGGCGAAGTTCTCAGCAGATTTTTTTTCGTGCGCCTCTTTTTGCATATGTACGATATACGAGCCCCAAGCAGAATCTGCGGGCGGCTGCGCGAAGCGGCGGCGTTTGAGCCTGGGGGCGGGCCGTAGCGCAGGGCCGGAAGCGACGGCGCGCTGTCTGCGGGGTTCGATCGCTGAAGCGCACTAAGCTCAGAGCTGTCCGTCCCGCTCCTTCTGACAGCACCCAGTGGGACCGGCTGTCGCCATGTCATCTGTGAGTCCTATCCAGATCCCCAGCCGCCTCCCGCTGCTGCTGACCCACGAAGGCGTGCTGCTGCCCGGCTCCACTATCCGCACCAGCGTGGACACGGCCCGCAACCTGCAGCTGGTGCGGAGCCGGCTGCTCAAGGGCACGTCGCTGCAGAGCACCATCCTGGGTGTCATCCCCAACACACCCGACCCCACCAGCGACGCGCAGGACCTGCCTCCGCTGCACAGGTAGGCCGGGCGGCCCTGGCTGCAGCGGCGGACGGCGCGGCCTCCTCGCGGACCCGGGCCCGGGCCCGGCTGGCCCCTGAGCGCGGAGCTCCGCTCCGGACGGCCTTTGCTACTTGGTTCAGCCTCTTCAACGCCCCCTCAAGAAAAATGGGGATAACAGATGGCTGCTCAGTGACCGTTAATAAGATAATTCATGAAGTAGTGCCTGACACCTGGCGAAAACTCCCTATCACCTACCACTGTTGTCATTTGATTTGAAACTCTGTCCCTGTCGTCTCCTTCAGTTTCCTAAGCCAGCGCCCTTAACTTTCCAGGCCCCTCCTTTCTTCTTGGGTGCTCTCGCCCTTCTCCCCACCCCCTTCCCTTACCCCTTCTCACCTTTCCCCCCATTCCTTTCTTTCCCCTTTCTCCCTTCGCCCTCTCATATTTGTCTTTTGAGACACTCTAAACTCCACAGGTTGTCATTTTCCTGAATTGCACCATTCAGTCGTTAACTTTTGGGTATTTTTCTACACTCCATGCAACCCTTTTCCTCCTCTCCCAGGACTTTCTTATTTTTTGAGACAGGGTCTCACTAAGTTGCTTAGGGCCTTGCTGAATTACTGAGTCTGGCTTTGAACTTGCCATCTTCCAGAGCCACTGGGATTACAGGCCTGTGCCACTTTTTTCTCTCATATCTTAACATTTTCCTTAGGACCCAAGCTAGATTGCCCTTAGGACCCACTAGATTGCCCTCCACCATGGCCCCAGTTGTGTGACACTGGGTGAAAGACTTAACCTGTGTCTGTTTCTTCCTCTGTAAATTATAAACTAATAACATCTGTCTCTTAGGTGTGTTATGAAGATTAGTTTAAAGCATATATGTATATTGCCTTTTCATCAGGATAGATGGATAGCTATGGTTTCCAGTACTGTACAGTGCATGTGACTAGAGAGCACTTTGTCACAGTTTGCCAGGACCGAGTTTTAGTACTGAAAATCCTGTGTTATAGGGAGCCCCTCAGTCCAGGCAGATCAGGTGGTCAGTCACCCTAAATGTACTGGGAATATATATACACATCAGATTTGAAAAATCTTAGCATGAAAATGTTTTGTTGATTAATAAATATTATATAGATTAAATGTTAGAATGGTAATATTTTGACCATTGGGGGTTAAATAAAATGTTAATATTTTACCAATTCTTACTTTATAATGTGCTTCGAAAATCACATATGTGGTATTTTTATTGGACAATGCTGGTACATAGTATGCTTGAACCAGATATCTTCAAACTTACCTCCCAGATTCCTGCCTCCTATCTTTAACTGAATTTGAGTTTTTTTTTTTTTCAATTTGGAGATTCACCTTTCCTTGTATTTATCCCTCATTTTCAAATTAAGGGTTCCTAACTGAAGGATTTTTTAGAAGGTTTAAAATGTCTTGTTTTTACCCCAAATCTTGGGAACTGTGTATTGTTTAGAGGAAAGTAGGTTCTCAAAGGAGATTGGTACCTCCTTAACACAACAAAAACCAAAACGACAAAACAAAAAACTCTAGAACAGTTCACATTGTAAAGCCCTGGCTTTTGTCAACAGTGAAAAATACTTGGCTCCATTTGATTTGCTTTGATTATTGCCCAAATAGAATTGGACATTTTTCAAGTTTCATTACTCTTAAAAATTTTTTACTTTAGGGGGCTGGGAATATTGCTCAAGTGGTAGCGCACTCGCCTTGCATGCATGAGGCACTGGGTTCAATTCTCAGCACCACATAAAAATAAAAATAAAGTATTAAAAAATGGTCAAGATAGTAAATTAATTTTTTTTTACCTTTAGATTAATTATCTTAGTTTTGTCTTTTGATTTTGTTTTTGGTACCAGGGATTAAACCCAGAGGTGCTTAACCACTGAGCCACATCCCAGCACTTTTTCTTTATTTTTTTATTTTGAGACAGGGTCTTGCTAAGTTCAAGAGGCTGAACTCTTGATCTTCTTTCCTCAGCCTCCTGTGCTACTGGGATTACAGGCATGTGCCTGCCTCATTATTCTTTGACAAATTGTATTGGATGCTAGTTTCCCTACACACGACCTCACTCCTTAAATCTATGTTTATTTCTGCATCATTTTTTGTCTTTGTGCACAGACACTTAGTTTCTTGTTGAGACAAGAATACTCATATTAGATTTTTTGTTTAATTTCTGCTACATATATGTATGGGTTACCTATGGATACACTGAATTTCACAAGTGAAGTCAGTCATATTATAAGTGACTATTTGGTAACATTATTCTGGCAGTTTGGGAACATTTTTAATTTCTTTTATGTAAATCCCTTCAAAACAACCAAAATTAACTTCTGCCTGAAAGTAATTGCTAGTATTTAGATAATGTTAGTGGCTCGGGAGGCTGAGGCAGGAGGATTACAAGTTTGAGGCCAGGCTCAGCAACTTAGTGAGACTCTGTCAAAAAAAAAAAAAAAAAAAGAATAATGCGTAATCTGATTCTTGATGTTTATATTGTCTTTGTTTTAAATGACTAGTAATGTTAAAATTTAGTCATTTAAATTAGAAAACAGACAATGAAAGGTCTATAGAAAGGTCAGCATTGTAAGAATCCACCAGACTACCTAGAGTTATCTTAGAAATATGTTTTGATACTTAAAAAGTATGTGTAGAAAGATTGGTCATACATTCCAAAATGTTTTTTTTTCTTTTGTATGCTGAAATTTGATCCAGGAGTGCTTTGTCCTTGAATTACAGCCCCAGCCCTTTATAATTTTTTTTTTTTTTTTTTTTTTTACCGTGAGACAGGGTCTTGCTAAGTGGCCCAGGCTATCCTCAAACTTGCGATCCTCCTGCATGAGCCTCCCAAATTGCTGGGGTTAAAGACATGTATCACTGTGCCTAGTGTCTTTTTTCTTTATTATAACTTTTCAAACACTTTCCACTTAAAAAATAAAGCTTAGTAGCATAACTATTGAGTTATCTAACACTAGTCTGTTTCTACTCACACACACACACACACACCCCTGTCCTTCCCAATTACCTGCTCTTCTAGATGGCACACTAGAGAGGAGGTGAAGGGCTCCGCTCCTGCTTCTTGTTTCCTTCACACCATCTAGGGCACTGGCTTCAGTAGTCAAGGAGCAGCAGAAGGAATTTGCTCCCCCATGTTGCTTGCCACATGGATGTCACCTTCCCAGTGATACTGCTTTTGCCATTTTGAGTAACAGAGTCCCCCTCTGCATGTTAATGTGAGGCATGTTGCTTGACAGGAGCCTTTTAAAGGAAGAGCTTTGCATTACCCCTGCAGGGTAGAACTTGGCTCCTAAGCCACCTCAGGATGTCCTGCATTTCTTTACCTAACTGAACTATGTTTTTAGTGGTTCCCAAATAACTCATTGTTTTCTATGTGAAAGTGGATAATAACTGAGTACTACCTGTATCCTTTCAGGCATTTAAACATGGTCATTCATTCTTCTGACTCTACATTCAGGTCCATGGTTTTGTTTCCTCAATCCCTGTTTGTTTGTTGGCTTTTTTATTCCTTTGTGAGACCCTTAATTAGTTTCTTTGGTATTTATCTAATAAAATATGAGGCAGATACATGGTTCCATAATTAGGATTAACTCTTTATTCATACATTATTATTTTTGTATCTATTAGCATTCTTAGGAATTTAAGAAATATTATCTGATAATAATAATATTTCAAAATTGAATCATTTACATTAGCAAGTATGCAATGGAGAGTTCTATTTAGAATTTACTGAATCTTCATTTATTCTTTTTAAGGAAGATCTATCTATAAGTGGCATTTTTCAAATTCACAAGTAAAGTTTTAAGAGAGTGAGAATCAAAAATCCTCTAGCAATATAAACCTCTTCTGGTTTATAGAGCTAGAAGGAATGTTCTAGTAGATTCCTGTCTTCTAAGTCATTATTAATAATGATTAATTTTTTTCCCCAAATCATCAACTGTTCAAAAAAATAAGTATAGTGTAACATCAAAACAAAACTAAAAAGATGTTTCAGTGTTTCTTTCCCAGAAATGTACAACTCTTCTTTTGTTTCCAGAGCTTTGGTAGAAGTGCTTCTATTCATTAAGTGCTTTCCAGTATCTTAGCTTTTTAGACAATTTACAAAAAATAAATTATTTATTTTTATACTTATTAGTATACAGTTCATATTATTCATTGTGGTAAGAAAAGAGTAAAATTTGTCATAAAATCTAATTCAGGTACTCTGTTGCTCTTAAATATCCTTGAAACTGCTTAACTATTTTTCACATTTTTAAATCTCAATTACTCAGTTTTAATAAGGGTTTATATAGTGCAGCCTGCTTTGTAGGGGTGAAAGGAGTTATATAATGAAATAATACTTATGGAAGCCTTTTGAAACTGCAGAGCACTCTAAATCTGTATACTAGTGATTTATTATTCCCAAAATGTGTAGTTTCAAATGTGGATTCACATTGTCTCAATATGTACGGAACTAAACTAGTCTCATTACAGCACTTAGGAGAGTGAAGATTTCAAGAAAAATGCAGGGCTTTGAAATAAATTAAAGGAAAAAACAAAGCCATAGACCAGAGCTTAGATATTTACATGATATCATCATATTGGAAAACCACTTTTTTCTAGTAGTTCTTAGATTTTCCCACCACTACAGTTGATGGTTTTTAAATATTTTTGGAATTATATAAATCAATTTCCAGATTACACAGACCATATCACTTTAGTCAGATCTTATGTGGACTAAAATTTTATAATATTTTATACTCTCTGAAGGTCCATTCCAATTAGGAGTTTCAAAAATTCTTTGAACTGCAGCAATATCAGTTTTCTTAGCATATGTGTAGATTTATTACAGAGCCACCACCTAAAGGGAAAGACACCACTCATTTGGATGTATAAATTTGGATCTGTTATCACATATGACCTGATTTGTTATCAAATATGACTTACATTGATTAGGTATGACAGAAGTGTTGCTTTTGTCAGAACTGATAATGTATATATTACAATATGAGAGTAAGGATGTTTAGATGACTAATTTAATGTAAAGACTTGTCTATCAAAAAAGGAAATTAGATTAATTGAATATTTTGTTGGTTTATCTATTTTTATATATAAAACCTGGAGCCAAATAGACCCTATAACTTGTCTAAAATTACATTAAACATGGTCATTTTTCACAGTGCCTTTCACCAAAAGATACTGTTTCTAACTATAATTTCATAGGTCATATTTTTCTTTAAAAGGTGTATATTTTAGTCAACTACATGTGCTTTCAAGTAAAAACCCATTACATTTAAAACCTTTTTGTCACTAAGAAGAGAGTCATATAGTGTAAATTCAACTTAATCTCATTTCAGCTTGGAACATCTTTCTTTCACTGTTAGCAAAAGCATTTTCTTAGCTTTGTAGGGAAATTGTTTATTTATTTATTTTTACAGTACTGGGGATCAGACCCAGGGCTTTGCACATTATAGGCAAGCACTCTATCACTGAGTCACTTCCCTAACACAGAAAACTTATTTTTAATGTCATTGTTTATCAGTGACATAGACCAAATAATAAAATTTATCTCCAGGAGATCTGGATTTGGCTCATCTACCCCTCTCTGGTTTCTCCTTGGATTCTACTTTGTAAACCCCTGAGGTCAGGGATCTGGTTCTGATTGCAAAAGTGTACAAACAAATTGTGAACTCTTTCAGCATGGAGCAAACATTGCTGAATATCTGAGTTGATCTCTCATCAGTTTAGGCATTGCTGACTTCCTCAGGCAATCTGACTTGATTTTTTGAAAATGGGAACTATAACCTGTTGATTAGTCACTGGATAAAAGTAGTAAAATGTAAATAAATCAAAATAATAAATGTCAAATCATTTCAAATTTTTAAAGTATGTGATTTTTTTCTCTCATCCAATTATCTTCCTAATTATTCAGCTTAAGATATTGTTAAAATCAGTTTTTATCCCTTGTACATGTGACATGACTGCAAAAATAATAAGGAATAAGGGACATAGTTTAAAATAAGCTGAGTGCCACAAGGAAACCAAAATCTCATAATCTACAAAATGTGTAATTTATGAGTATTTATGTAGGAGTGAGCAAATTCACTGATGTATTCACATATTGTATGTGTATGTGATTCAGTATGTTTGAGATAAACAGGTGTAGTATTTTAATATTATCATTTTCCCAGACCTATCATCTCTTTTAGTTTCTTTTCTGAAATTGAATATATCTGAGGAGAGAAATATTTTAATTTGGGATTCAGAAGCGTATTCTGAATGTTGTCTTTATATTTTATATATCTTTGGCTTAGTTTGAGCGTTACTTCCTTTCTGTGAATAAAATTTACATGTAACTCGGTCACAGTTGTATGTTCTGATAAGGAGCTAAGACTTAAATAAGACTTTTCAACTATTTTAGTGAGAGGATTGCTTGTTAGAACTAGGTAAATACTTTCTTGAGATCTCAGTCTTTAGCTCTCCTCAGTTCATGACATGGTATGGTCTATAATATTTAGCCCCCACATTTAGGAATTCAGGATTAAGGACATATATGTATTAATTTCCAGAGTGTAGTGGTAGTTTGTAATAAGATATATATGTAGAAGTTTTATAGATTGATTAAGTAAGATAATTGGACTTTAAAACTGATATTGGAACAGAGATTTCTTACATTGGTTTATACTGTTTGTATTTCATTCTATTTAAAATGTTAATGTTTATTCTAGTATTGTAGTTGGCACTGTTAATTTAAGCTATATAATTGTCAACTACTCTCTCTCTTAGATTTTTATGCTGAAATAATCCAGGTGTGTGGGAATTCCTACATAATTTTTAGAAGTGGTGCAATCGTAGTTTGTATGCTTTACCCCACAGCTGATTGTAATGACTTAATAAAGCTCATACCGGATGCTAAATTAGAGACATAGTTCATTTACACTTCTGATGTTCTTTATTTTTTAATGAATTTCTCAGAATATCTGACACTTTGGGAAGTAAGTTTCCGTTTTTCAGAGTGAATATTTGTCATATTGATGTTCTGTGTTTTTCAGGATTGGGACAGCTGCACTGGCGGTTCAGGTTGTGGGCAGTAACTGGCCCAAGCCCCACTATACGTTGCTGATTACAGGCCTGTGCCGGTTCCAGATTGTCCAGGTCTTAAAAGAGAAGCCATATCCTGTTGCTGAAGTGGAACAGTTGGACCGGCTTGAGGAATTTCCCAATACCTGCAAAACCAGGGAGGAGCTGGGAGAACTCTCAGAACAGTTTTACAAATATGCAGTACAAGTAAGTGGCTTTTATTTTTTTCCTTAAGCCTTTTTTTCTTTGATTTCTTTGCTCTGTAAAGATATGCTAAATCTTTAGGGCAGCATACCTTTAAATGATTTCACACTTTATATCCTAATTTGCTTTTGTCTGGAGCTGTACCTAAATCATTCCAAGATATGTTAGCAAACCTCTTCTAAAGTCACTAGAGCTTTATTTATAACTTCTAGTATCTTCAAACCAGATAGTTATTAAGCCTAAATATTTAGTGTTAAAATACCACACAAAATGTCTAAATATGTCACTAAAATATCTAGGCACCAAATAATAGAAGTTATATTGCTTCAAAAGTCTAAGTCACACTGTGTCTTTCAGTAACTAGAAGATTAAAACCGAGTTGGACTTATTTCAAGTTTGGTTAAAACTTTGACTAACTAGCATGCTGAGAGGGAAGAATACTTCAAGTATGCATTAAATATTGGGTTCTTTACTTCTATATTTTTAAGTTTTTGGTTAACTTTAGGTAGAATAGAAACCTTCTATTCTAATCCTCAATTAACTATGAAATTATAAATTATAGTCTTTTACTTTTCAATGGATATAATCCATTGACTATAACTGGATCTGTGAGGACCAGGTACTACCTAGGTCTTGATTTTAAACACCATTGATCACTGAAAAGTGTTAGGGTTAGGGTTAGACTTGCAGGGCAAGTCTTCACAGCATAGGTCTTTGTATCTAATATATCTTTTGAAGTGACACACTCCTAGCGTCGTGAACAATAGAAAAATTAATTTGGAGCTGTAACTTCTATGGGAGCTAAAAGAAAGAATATACTCTGAAAAAAGAAACTTGGGTTTCAGCACTAGAGAGGAATTTAGAGTGGGGGAAATAGAATTTCTCTTCCTTTTCCTGGGTGTGAGGGTTCCTGGATCTTTGTACTTCTTTGGACACAGCTTGGGCATAGCTTCATAGCTTTTTTTTTTTTTTTTTTTTTACCTTTACTTCTTTCTACTTTGATCTACAGAAACTTTTTAAACATGTAAAGATTTTTGTAAGAACATTAAAGAAATTTTTAAGTACTTGTGTAAATGTTATTGACTTGGGATATCAATTTTATTATTCCTCTTTGGACATTAAGATTGTTTATAATTAGTGCTTCTCTTTCATCCCTTTTGCCATCTACTTTCTATAGGCTTTATCAGTAGACTTCTTCATCAGCCTCCTAACTGATGGCCTCTCATTTTCTTCTATCTTTTTAAAAATAATTTTTATTGGTATATTATAATTATTTCATTTTTTGGTAGTAGGGATTGAACCCAGGGGCACTTAACTTCTGAGCACTGAGCTACATCCCCAGCATTCCCTTTTTTAAGTTGTAGTTGGACATAATACCTTTATAGTGCTGAGGATCGAGCTCAGGGCCTTACATGTGCTCTGCAAGCACTTTACTTCTGAGCTGCAATTCCAACCCCCAGCCCTTTTTTATATTTTATTTAGAGACAGGCTCTCACTGAGTTGCTTAGGGCTTCCATAAGGCTGCTTCAGCCTCATGAGCCACTGGGATTACAGGCAGGTGCTACTCCACCTAGTTATAATTATATTTACTAGAGGAATTCATTGTGATATATTCATACATACACATAGATTGGTCTATTTCATTTCCCCATGCCTCCCTTTTCCTTCCCTACTCCCTCCCCATCCTCCTTCTTTACCGTCTCCTGTTTTCATAAGGTCTCTTTTCTTTCCTTTTTCTCTCTAGCTTCTACATGACAGAAAGCATAACAACCCTTCACTTTTTGAGCCTTGCTTATCTCACTAGCATGTTTTCCAGTTCCATCTATTTTCTGCAAATGACAATTTTATTCTTCTTTTTGGCTAAGTAAACCTCCATTGTTTATATACACCATATTTTCTTTATGCTTTTATCTGTTGACAAGACACCTAGATTTATTCCATAACTTGGCTATTTTGTGATAAATGTGGGCATGCATGTTTTGCTGTAGTGTGCTGACTTTAATTCTTTTGGACAAATTTGAAGGAGTAGTATAGCTTTGTCACAGGTGGTTCCATTCCTAGTCTTTTGAGGAACCTCTATATTGATATCCATAATGGTTATATGCCGACCCGCTGGGGCAGCTGAACTTAGGGTCGCTCATGTGAATTTCCAGGGACACCAAATAAAACAGAGACACACACTTTACCTTTAAACAAGCTTCAGGACGGCTCTTCCGCTCTCAGCCTCAAGCTCCCCAAAAGGGAGAGCAAGGGATAGTCATGAGGGGCTGGAGAGAGAGAGCGAGAGAGCACTCACCCACGAGCACATTGGGAAGTAGGCTTTTATTGGGGGGACCCTCCTTCTTGGAAAGTTTTATCCAAAAAAGGTAAGAAGGGACGGAGTTACAACATGTAAGTATAATTCGACCAAGGGCTATAGGGCAAGGCCAGCATCTGAAGACGTGTCCTCAGGCAGTGTCCAAGTCACTGCAAGATGTAGTGATGGTCAAAGCCTCTCCACTCCGGGATGAAAGACGTGAATCATTCAGAGTGGCTCCCCACATATTCCTCCTCCTTTCTTTGAAAAAGCAAGTTATGGGTCATTATTTCGAGTCTGGAATCCTTGTTTTGAAGGCTCGCCATCCTACAATTACAATACAAGAGAGAATTAGTAGCAAAGAGAACAATACAAGGATAGACCATGTAGAAAGTTTAAGAACGTTTCCAGGGTTAAAGCCCTTCGATTCTTTAAGCATCTGATTAACTAAAGAAGTAGGATCCAAAAAATCAATCTTTTTTGTATATCTTGAATATGATGATGGAGCTCCAAAAGATTCAAGCTGTTATTATTATTTTGCCAAATACCCAATATGCCAGGTTTCTGTTCGCGACTAAAAGGCTCAGGGGTCACTCCAGGGGAACTGGAGACACAAATACCTTTCTCTTTGGGTCGCTGTGACGGCTCCTCTGCCCTTAAGGGTCCACCGAAGAGAGGGAAAGAGCTCTCGCTTACCCCTTTTATTGAGGATAAGCTATTCAAATGAGGCAAGGGGTCAGGTTTCAGGGGGCTGAATCTATCTTCATGATGTCCGCTATCAGAAGGTTGACTGACATCTAGGTAGGCCACACCCAAGGGCACAGTAAGAGAAGGGGACACACACAAGGCACGTCCGTGGAACATTCTATCCTAAACAGGGCAAGAGGTTATATTACAAAGGAACAGGTGAGCATAGCTCCACCCATGGGGCTGTAGGAAGCCTCGGCCCAGGCATGAAGACAGTCACTTGAACCTTAGAAGAGCTAGAAGAGCGGGGCAGTCTAGCAGCAGACTGACACATCGCCCAGCAGAGGAGTTAACTCAGTCCTGTGTGAGGTTGGTCTCCCACACCAATAAATGGTTTTTAATCTTTTCCCAATCCCACTGGGAGGCATTGTATTTGGCAGCAGTAACACACACATAGTTAGCATGATATTTAAGTCTTTCCTTGAATTTCAAAGCTGAAAGTTCATTACCATATTTATGACAGTAGCCTCTAAGGCATTTAGCTTAATCTCAATCCTTTCATCTGTGTCTATTTGATTATGAAGAGTCTTGGAAGTATTCTGAGATGACTGGTTTGTTATGAGAAAGTCCCATTTTAATAACTGATCTGATCTAAGGTTTTGAGTCTCTGGTAACAGTACGATTAGTTGGTCTAGGTCTCCCAATTGCTGTCTTTTCCTCAAATGACCCTTTTAGACAGCCAGTATGCTTATTCTGGGACCAACACAAAGGTAATTGGGTGCTATAGCCAGAATAATTAAATCCAGTCACATGGTTGGAAGTAATATGTCTACAAATCCTCCCATCATATATGAGTCATTAGTAAATACCCGGATGGATTCTCCAGTCCACACTGCTGAGTGTACTTGAGGTGGATCTGGAAAATATGTCCCATAAGTTTCTCTCTGATTCCGTTTTACCTGACAGCTCAATAGATCTCAGCCTGTTTGGTGCAATAAACAGTCCAGTGAGATCTCCAAAGGAGATAATCACCCTTGGAAAGGCAAGCCTTTGCCATTGAAATCCAGTCTTTGGGGGGGTCAAGGCTTGTGGCATAACAAATCAAGCAGGCTTTGCACAAAGGGTGAGTTTGGACCATAGGTACCGCAAGCAGTTTTGAGCTCCCTTAGAGTCTTAAAGGGAGCTGCAGCATGCATGTGTACATGCTGATTTTTTTCATTAATCTACTCAAAGACTGGAAAAAGCTGAAAACCTGTAATGTCCTCCCCTCGCCTGCACTCTTCTAAGGCCACATTGTAGGGACTTAAGCATGGCGACCGCCAGTTCAGAGTAATTATTGAACCCCATTCTCCCAGGGAGAGTGGCCAAATTTAGATGGAGGGTGCTGGGCCAGCTAGATGTAATTTAGTAAAACCCTCCTCCAGGTTTTCCTCACCTTCTGACTGAGTCCCCTCAGATTGTGACTCTTTTTCATTTGTATCTTTCTGTCCATCTTGTTCCTTCCAGTTTGAATCTGCCTCACCAAATCTGATGGGAGATAGTTTCCTTTCTGGAACATGCCCCTTGGTGCTCCTCTAAGCTCCTGGTTCTGACCCGCTCAGTGGAGACTAAACTTTTGATTTCAGGTTTTGCCCCTGTGTTTTCGAGCTATAGACTGAGCAAAAATTGACTCTGTCCTCAGTCCTGTCTCAGAAAGAGAGAACTGCTTGGAAGCAGTCTTGGGCCGTTTCTCCTGCTCCAAACTTCTAACAGCTCTCTGAAGCCCTTTCAGCAGGTCCTTGGTGGACCATTGGTCCTGTTCTAGATCACCAAAAAGACACATTTCTAAAGCAGTCCAGACCTTCTGAACATTCTCTATTGTACTTTTAGACAACTTGGCAGAGAGGCAGCCTTTATATAATTTTCTACCTAGTTTCTCCCAAGTACGTAAATCCTGTGAGTCTTGCTGACAAAGTGGGTACACCTCACTAACTGTTTTCAGGAGCTGAGCTAGCTGGGCCCTTCTGACTTGTTTTCTTCT